CAAACCCCTCAATTATTACATAGCTACCAAGAAGAGAAGTTCAGTGATTCTTATTCACTGAATGACTAAAACTATTTACAGACTAGTGAAGTGGTATTAAGAACACAGATACTGAGAACCAGATACCATAATAAAGCCAGTTAAACGAACATCAGTTATTGGTATTGCTGAGGACAACATACTGGACACAGATAAGCACAGACATGAAAAGGAGAAGACTAAAACCAGACTTTACTATTTTAACTGCCTGGTAACATCTGCTGAATCAAAAAGAGAAAGCAAGGCTCCTTCCCTGCTAGGGGACCCACCAAAGAAATATACCTGTAACAAACTTTGGACTGCAACTGGTGATAAGGCTATGCAAATCTGCTGCTACCAGAGGGTCCTATAACCTACAGGACTGCAAGTTTCTAAGACCAATACATCAATTATCACGTGTTCTGAGCCATTGTATAAAGAATTTAGCCTTCTGATGAGACTTTGATTTACTCGCGAAATTGAACACTTCAGGTATACAAAATGCACTATCTTTTAGAGAACAGTCACCTCAGCACAACTGCTTCCAGGCTAGGGCAGAGAGCATGAATTTACTACACTGTTACTGCCTTGCAAAGCTGCTGTTGTTTCAACTCAACTTTTGCTGTAGTATTAAAGAGCGGTTCACTCTTAAAGACTCTTACCTTCTCTTCTGTCTTTAATGCTGGCTTTGGAGGTTGAGGTTGAGGGACTTTGAAACCTAAAAGTTCCAACATATTTTCAGCTGCATTGCGTTTAGCAACTTTTTTGTTTGTGCCCATTCCTTCTGCTGTGTGTACACCAACTTTCACCTTGACAAAAGAGGAAATAAAACCAAATAAATTCTTAAACAATAGTATGAAGCTTCATTTATTAGTGATCTGTGTCTTGAGCATGCCATGAGTCACAAAATAGTTCAAGCGATCATTACTCTAAGCAAGTTGTCATTTATTATCAATGATCATTGGCCTTCAAGCACAAAAAACCAAAGAGAAGTCATACAAATATGTTTCCTCATCTCACCTCAGCAACAGCCTAAATGCTCAAAACTGGTATCACAGCAGAAATATGTTTTTCAAGCTGAAGTAACAGGTTTAGAAGATTTACTAATGTAATGGAAAGAAAGAACCTAACTTTCCTGTCTTGGCCACGATAGGAGAGAGGTCTGGAGAATTCACTTAATTATTAGATGCTCATAGATACTCAGTATTAAAAATACTACTATGCTACTGGGATTTGCAATGCAGAAAGTGCTGCACTCTAAAGTAACACATGAAAACTCAGGGGAAGCAGGAAATGAAGGATATCCAGGTTCATGTTAATACATCCTACATTACAAAATATAAGCAGCTCAGTATCTCTTAACAGAATATTAATATTCCTGTTATAACATAAGACTTCTGGTGCCCTATGCAATTTTTTTTAAAAGCATGATTCAGATCACTTTTCTTGAACCTTTATCTTCCTTAAATGTAGCCCACTAGATATTTTCTTAATAAATTTAATGGGAATTTGGCTGTAATCCTGTTGAATTTTTATATCATCATGACAACCTGCTTACCATAAGCCCCCAAAAAACTAAACCAGAGACATCACAGCCATGCAACTAGATTTCTCAAATTAACATACAAACCTGCATGACAAACTCCCTGCGCCTTGGAAGACCACGTTCTGTGATGAGCATGTACTCTGGTTCCTTTTCTTTCTTGGCCTGCTGTATCTGGGCAAGTCTGCTAATGGGATTCATTCCTTGACCATATTCTGGACTTGTTTGCAGCTATGTAGAACAATGTTTAGGAAATAAGCCAAAATTTGTGAATATTTGGTTTAATAAACAAAATGCAGCGCACCACTGAATTTATTCACCTCTAGAGTTTAAAAACACTGAAATCAGAGTTGCTTAGTGAAGCACTGTCACAGCCAAAGAGAAACAATTTATTTGGCTCTGCTGTCACATTTGACCACATATAACCTACCAGTGGTAGTAGTTTTACAAGTTCTAATCCTGCTATATTAGGAGGGACAGGCTAGTAGGAGAATTAGCACATGAAAAGCATGCAAAACCCAAAGCTGTGAAGTCTAAGTATCAGACTCAGAGCTTGATTTTTATGTGCCACTCATTCTTTTATAAGGTTTCTCTTTCATCCTGAATTTGCTGATAACTGTTGTAAAAGTGGTGTCAGAACCCCATGTGGGAGCAAAAGATCCTTTCATTTGTAGTACCAGACTGCTGATAAATATTGAGCAGTTGAAGGGTGTTTATAATTAACTCAGAAACGCCTCTCATCTGATTTATAACAGTCAGATTTCCAATCTGTGCGTCTCTTACCTTCACTATTGATTTTGTTTTCTTTTTGATTCGTGGCTTCATTTTCTCAACTGTTGGAAGGGGTGGCAATTTTTTCAGTTCTTCTAGGACTGCTATTGCAGCATTTTTCTTTGAGATCTTCTTGCTCTTTCCTTCACCTTCACCCATGAATTCTCCAACTGACACCTTGGTTACAAAGCTCTTCATATGGGGAGGACCACTTTCCTTGGTCACCTGTTTCAGAGGGAAAAACTGAGTGAAAGCGTGATAAACATTTATTAAAAATGGTAGGGCACACTGTTTATAGCAAACTTTTCTCAAGAACTACGGATAAAGAGATTTTAAATTCTCATACAATCCAGAAAGTAGAGATGTAAATCATACTCACTCTAATAACAAACCCACCCCAAAAAACATATACTCTAAAAAGGTCAGATGCAGCAAGCAGTAAACAGTATTTACATCTATGTCATTAACCCATCTTATTTAATTTACTGATTTACTCTTTCAATATTAAAATATGACTGTTCTATTTTGTCACTGTGTACTTCCACACAGTTAACATCACCTCATTAAATATATCATGTTACAGTAACAGAACATTTACAGAGAAAGCAACTCTTTAGGATCCAGCATTTTAGCTAAGAAATCAAGAATTCTTAGAGACATCTAAGAGATAGCTGCTTACTACAGATTTAGTCTTGTAACTACATTCATAACACATTGTACTTAAAAAACAAAATATCCATAAAGTCAAAAAGTAAGAACAAATTAAGAACTTCCACCCACAACTGGCTTTGTGTGACAGTATATTTCACCAGTGATGCTCAGGATAATTTGCAATAATTGAAGGCTTCATGTGAAATTTCATAGAACAGTTTTAGAAGTAATTTAGTTACACACACAATTGTGTTTTCTTACTATAATAATTCAGATAGTCGACTTAAATGCTACTCTGCCAGCTCAGGAAAGCAGCATGATAAATTAATACTTTAGTGCAACAGAGAAGCTCCTATGGAAGTTATTGATTTAAGATAACTAAAATGATCAAGGAGGGGCAAAGAGGCAGCAAGCAGCCAGGCCAAAGGGAAAGGAAAGTAAGATGCACATGAGGTCATCTCATGGCAAGAAAAGAAACCTATTTGTGAGATTCTGCAACTTGCGGGTAGTCCACATCAGTGCTTAATTAAGCAAATACTTCCATAAATGTCTTTCAGAGTGAGCTATACGCTTTTGCCTCAACTCTTGCACTTCAATGTTCTAACCATTAATGTGGGGTTGTGTTTTGTTTCTTCACTGTAATACTGATTTTTCAAAAAGCTTGGAAAAAAGATTGCACAGACAACCACAGTGTAGCTGTTCACTCATGTTATGATTTTAGTGCATGAATTTGTGAACAGGGAGGTTTTTCTTTTTTCTTCACTTTACCATATAAACTCCGAGACAATCAGGGTGACTGTCAAAGGTAAAAGTGTATTCACAACTAACAAGACACGTTAAAAGTCAGTTGTTTGAGTTATCTAGAAGAGACTCAACTTAATGTGTACCCTTAATAATCTAGTAAAAACAAATCTAGAGCTTGTAAAATAAACATACCTCAAAATTCACAGGCAAGTTCCTTTTAAGTGCAATCTCAAAAACTTGGCTTATTTCAGATTTATTGAGATTTTCATCATCTGGTTCTTTTCCGTTAACCTAAAAGAAGCATACTCTATTTAAAATAAAGATCCTATTAAATTGAATTTTATCCATCCAACCAGTTTACTGAACTCTCAAAATTTTAAGTAGTCTAACCTTTACTGCCATTTTATGTGAATGTGTAGAAATGCAGCACACGTACTACAGAATTGAAACTTAAGAAGCTCATTTAAGGTGTATGTGTAAAATCTAGCAAACCTTCATATTTCATGTGCTTGTTACAAGAAAGAACAAATGCAGTAAGGGCCAAAAGGTTTGAAAATCTATTTCTAGAAAAAACAAACTGAAGTGTTAAATGAACTGATTTCCAAATGGAAGTACCTTTATGAAATACAATTTTCATATACTGATTGGACATTTGTACCAAAAGCACTAAGACAGTATCAGATAAGAGAAAGGGCAGGAAAAATAAAGATTCTGAGAATGGGACCAATATGAAAAAAGGATGGTTAATTAGACCCTGGCATAGTCTTGTCTATTAACATGCTCCCTTGTAAGTGCTTCATCTACAGATTTTTTTTTTTCCATCTGAAGAACATACTATCAGGAACTTGCCTTAAATCAAATGGTCTATATCTCTGAACTTACACCTGCTAGGAAGACAGCAGTGCCAGGTGAAGCTTACCTACAGGCACTTCTACGTATCTCCAGGTAAAATTTTGATTGTGATTCCAAAAATGTCTTCAATGATGTTGGGATCAACATGAACTAAGAGGCATGGTAACAGCAACAGAGAAATTTTAAGACTAAGTGTCCAGCAGTGATATTGAAAAGATTATGATAAGATGAACAGCAACAATTTCACCAATTATATCATGCCACAATACTAGTTATGCAACCAGGTAACAAAAATGATTTCAGTATTTTATTCGAGCAGCAGAAATATGCTAGAGCTCTCACGGATTAAAACTAGTTTTAATGGTAGCAAGCATCCCCAGTGTCGGTTTTAATCTAATCTGTTCGTAACCTTATATTTCAGGTTCGCACTGCAAGCACTTCAGAAGAGCATATATAGCTCAACATCCTTTTACAATGATAACATCTGATACTTCTGATCCCACTACTACATCCAGTCTCCAACCTCTGCGTGGAGGTGTGCACAGAACAATCTTCGGGTCTGTGAAAAGGGAGACCACAGGATGGCACCACTCCCACAGGAGCGGGGCAGATGCACTGCGCGTGAGACTGCATGAGAAACGTGGAGGCAACACCTACACTGGAGGAACCATACTATACCTCAGCAGAAGGCACAACGCAGGTAAAAATTGGCAAAGCCAAGAATTAATACAGGAGTCAAAAGTCTTGATCATCATATTCTAAAACCTATTTCAAATGCAATTGGTAAGCTGAAAAGGAATAGCATCAGATACTCAGAAAAAAAAAATATTTGAACTACTAAGGTCTTATTTTATTATGGTCTAGGTGTTACAGCAAGTTTACTACCAGCATCTCTAGGAATGATCTGTCACTACCCTTACTGTCAAAACATCAGCACAATCATTTTAATTACAAATATTTTTCCCCTCCTTGTAGTTTCAGATATATTCTAGTTTTTCAAATTCCAACATCTTTCCTTGCAAAGCTGACCAGGACTTCTCTTTATTAGATTATATTTTCCCCACTTAATATCATTTCAAGAGAATACAAGTAAATAGTATGCAATTAATTGCTATATTGTGGTGTCTATTCTTAACATATTCCAAGTATGTTTACACAGTGTAAAGCACAGGTACTTTTCTTCAATACCTTTATCTAAATAGACTAAATTAATAGCAAAATAACAATTAACAGATGATAACTATTTTACCAATTATCTTGCCTCCACTTGAATTCTGGATCAGTTTACTTTATAAATCAAAAATAATCATACACACATGCTCTCCCATCTTGCTCTTTCCCTGCACACCTCAAGGCAGATTATCTATGAAGTCTGCTTTTAAAGTAGTTTGCATGTGTGCATAACTAAACTCTCCAAGGAAATCTGTCTCTAACTCAGAATGACACCAAGAATATAAACATTTACCACTCTTAGCTCTCATGAAATTGTTCAAATCCATCTCTAAAAAGTGAAACAACCAATCACAAACGAAACAGAAGTGACAGATTAAAAAACTCCCAAGCAAATTGCAAAGTAATATTCACCCTTTCCTAGGAACTCTTTCAACAGGTACTTTCTCAAAGACTGCTTATAAGCAAATTACGAAAACCAGTGGAGTTGATGATTAGAACTACACTGATTTCAGCATAGCTATCAGTCTATTTTCTTCCATGTTAAGTGTATAAAAAGCAGCTGATATTTACCAAATAAATTGGCAATAAACATAGAAGCAATTCTAGTTTAAGTATTTTCAGGCAAAAGTTAGAATTTCTGTCTAAGAATTGTGCTAGAAAGCACAATTGTGATAAAAGTTTTCTATGTTTCCTAAGCTTTAAATCGACGCTTTATCATCTCTGTCTTTGAACATGCAAAGTAACCCCATACTGCAACTTCGTCAGTGTGTCTTAACTCCAGTCAGACTAACTTAGGTTGGAAGGGCCCTCTGGAGGTCTCCTACTACAGCCTCCCGCTCAAAACAGAGCAGACTTTACAATTAAATTATGTTTTTCAGGCAGGGCTTTGTCCAGTTGAGAGCTAATATTACTAATTTTTTTCCTGCCACTTGCTTCTAGATTTGCAGTCTGGGAAGATGTGGGAAACGGTCATTCTTACACTTCAAGGCTAATCATTTTATTCAATGATTTCTTCTTAAGCACTGAATATTTTCTAATTTAAAAATACACGAGTAAAATCCTGTAAATACAAAAATTTTAAAAATAAAATTAAAAAAAACAAAAACAAAAAAAACAAACAACAACAAAAACAAACAAACAAAAAAAAAAACCAAAAACAAAAAACCCCAACCCACAAAATTACCAGCCACCCACCACCCCCTGAGAAAAAAATAGAAGTTCAAGCATATTATGTTTACACATACACACACGCAAATGGGATACACAGAAATAACTATATTTAAAAGGGAAATTGCTGGCAAATGACAGGTAGAAAGTAGCAGGATTATATCTGTCTGTGAAATCTTAATTTGCTGCCATTGTATACACACATTATAACAGCATCTCTTATGTTCTTACACTACCGTATCCTTCAAGGACATTGCCACATTGAACACAAGAATGAACAGTGCTCACTTAGTGGTAAAATCTTCCATATTCTATCTTCATCTTGTCTAGTGCAAAACACTTACAAAAACACCAATTCCCTCAGACATTCCTAAAACTACAACACTTGAAAGCCACAAATATTAATGAATTTGACATTTAAATAGAGAACTTTAAATTAAGTTCTGATTTATCCAAGTACTTATCATAAAACAGTACTCTCTGTTCAAAGGATTGCTCTCCTTAAGCATAGCTGCATTTCTTACTGTTCATTTTGGAGACAAGTCAAACATAAATAGAAAAATGAAATAACAAATGCATGTTTTTTGTGAAAGTTTAAGTGACTTGCCCAGCATATGTATAGCAGGGTCAAGACAGCAATCAGCTCCCAGCTAGCTTGCACCTGTTTTATTCATAAACTAATTCTCCCTTGCAATCTCTTGCATCATTCACAATAGTATATCCCTTATCGTGTCCTAAAAAAAAAAAAAAATAAAGATAAAGGAAAGATTCTGTACGTTTGCTTCCTTTGCCTCTTGATTTACACCCCTTACAATGAATGAGACATCCTATAGAAAAGGATACGTGGTCATGTAAAGAAAATCGCAGTGTTTGTTCTGAAGACCTCACATTACTCAACTTTAAACACAACTCTATAAATATTATAAAGTTGCTTGTACAGAAGCATTTTTTAAAAGTTAACAGGAACAAATTCAGTTACGTGTGATCCAATTATTTTCTGCAGGGTTGGACTCCTTAGGTCCAGTACACAGAACTATGCTACCTGAGGTGGAGAAACAGCTGATGACAGTAGGTTATTTTTTATAAGGGTGAGTGGAAACAGAGCATGTCATACATTACTGACACAGAACAATACTGAGGAATTTGGGGTTCCCCTGCACTGAATGGGAACATCCCCCTCAGGCTTGACCTCTCATGCATGAAGACATCCAGCTTGTTCCTGACCACGCTCTGCCTATCATCAGTTCTAGATTTCAGTACAGAACTCATCTCCACTCCTTCAGCTTCTATTCCCAGCATCATTCTGTTCTCCCCAACAGCATTTGTCATCCCTTGGCACTTAGTAGCCTCCATCGTTCAATAATGTGCATTCCTCCAGGAGACCCTTCTGTCACCTGAAGCACTACCATGAGTGCCTCCTAGGCCTCTTCCCTGAACCATCGGATCCAGTGTTTTTGCCTAATTATCTGGGCAATGCTCTCTCCCACAAACACGCTTTGAAGTTTTAACTCAATGTCCCTTGGCTTCACAACACATTTCCTCAATCCTCTTGTTCTGCCATTCGTTCCCAGCTATTTTTTTTCCCAGTGTGAGACCCTTTGTTACCTTCTTGCCCAATTCTTCGTTTTCCTTCTTTCTCAGCACAGAGCCAGACTCTGTATCCCGCAAGTTCTCCTGTTCCCCAGACTGTAAATTATCAGTCTAACCTCCTCTTCCCGTTCTTATCCTCTCTGACAATGTTCCAGTCTCTTGCTTCTAGGTTTGTCTTGCACGGTCTCCTCCTCAACACAGTCTAGATGGCAGCATGGAGTACATCAACAGACCTCTTCCTCTTAGTTCTAACTAACATTATGCCCCCATAACTTAAGACAGGTATAATGAGCCCATAAAGGAAAGAATAAATACACTCTTTGTAGTACTCTTTGGCCAAAGCAGTCAGCCAACACATACGGGGAGGGTGCACGCAGCCAACCAGCCCCAGAAGCTGTGAGTAACTTGCGTGCACAAAATAAGACCTTCTGCCTAAAGCAACTTAATAAAAAAGCATGAAAAAAAAAAACAAAAAACAGTAACAGGGTCTTGGAATGGAAAGTGCTGGGCAGTCATAAATATGTAGAGGGATAAAAATTTGCTTTTTGTATTCGTATCATAATGTGTGTGAGTCTACTACTTCCATGAAGTTCCTGCTCTGCTGGAACTTCGATGGTTCTTTCCAGAATCGTGTAGGAGTTTTGCCCAGGAAGCAAACCCATGTCTGATTTCTATGTTGCCCATACTAGAATGCAAGTACCCCATTTACACACTTCTTCAGAAGTTTGTATATGATCTGTACCTGGTAAGATATTAGTTCCTATCTATGCTTCTAGTGCTCATATCTGACAGAGGTCTATAGCATTGCTGTGGAAAAATATGACAGCAAAAGAATTAATATAACTTCATTTGGGAAAACTCTGGTTCCATAGAAATTTATGTTTTTAAATCAAAGTGTTTCTGTTGACACAAGTAGGTCAACACTACTACACAGAATTAAATTTCACAACTGTCATCTTCCTCAGTAAGGAAAAAATCTACAACAAAACCTCAGTTTATTTTAGCAATTTATGCTTACAACACTAAGAGTAATTCCCACCTCTGGTTTCTCAGGCAAGGGCTCATTCTGCAGAACTTTCAGTGCTTTAGCAGCTGCATCATGCTTAGCAGCTTGTCTTGTTCTTCCTTTCCCATGAAACTGCTGCCCTCCAATTGAAAGCTCAACTTGATAAAGTAAGGGCCCAACAGGAAATGGGTAAAAGTACCTGCAAAGAGAGAGATTTAAATAAACAAACAGTTTGACCTACAAAGTAAACAGAAACATAAGTAATACATGGATGAATCTCTTGGACATCAGTAACCACGAATCAGCAGTAAAGCACTAGTATGAAAAAGCCAAATTTTGATTTAAAGTCTCAAAGATTTCAGAGAGAGACCTTTGAAACAGAGTATCAATATTTCTTGTTTTACAATATGAACACATTTCTAACCAACCAGAATAGAGAAAGACAATGTAATTACATTTTTACAGACCCATCAGGCCAGTAAATTTTGAAATCTCAATTCCTATGCCCATATAAAATTCTTTAAACCGAATCTTAGATTTAAATAGCTTTAGAAAAAGCATCAAATTATTTCCTTCACTTTTGCTTTTACACAGAAGGGAAATGCAAGAAATAGTTAGCTAGTTACTTCATGAAGCTGGCTATAGCCGAATGCCCTCAAAAACACTTAATCATTTGGTTCAGTTCCCTTTTTCCTCCCTTTCCCCTCCCCCCCAAATTAAAAAATAAACTTAAGTAAGACAAACTACAGATATAAATGGGTTGTACTTATCATAACCTTTTGCTTCATAAGCTGGCTATGTTTCAAGCTGAATATCCCTTTAAGGGATGCTGTATTTTTAGACAGTTTTCAGAAGATAGCATCAAAGTACTCGGATGATGAGAGCAGAAGTTCAAAGATATGAAACTGCAAAACCTAAAAATCAAATAATACATACCGTGGAGGATAAGTACCACCTCTCATAGTATAGTTATAAGTGGATCTCATCCCCGTATAAGGATCGATAGGTTTGTACATAGGTTTCTTTCCCAGTTTCATGCAAAGTGCATTTAACTCCACTGTGGGGGTTACACTGTCTAGATAAAAAGGAATATAAAGAGTTGTCCAACTGCCACAAGGAACTGAAACAATCTAAACTGTTATGCTATCTCAAAGCAGGGAAAAATGAGCTCAAGTTTTGCCATAAGCAATATCTTAAATTAATGAATTCTGGATAGAAATGCTAATGAACACAAAGAAAGTAAGTCTATAAAATGCATATTAAATTAGCAGCCTAGTACAGTTGTGACAAATCCTGTTACAAAACAGTGAATTTGCTGGGGGCTTTTTTTTGGTGTTTTTTTGTTGTTGTCGTTGGTTGGGTTGATTTTTTTTCTTTTTTGCTTTAAACTCGTAAAGCTACCAATTTATTTATTTTTACAGTGTATCTAACAATGTGGTCTGCAGAACAAAAATTTTGCTTCCCCCCAAAATACTCTGAAATTAAATTAACAGCCGTGCTACATACCTCCTGTGTCTGTTGTTTACTGAGAATGATCAAATGTTTCTCCTTGTACTCAATGACCTAAGAAGGGTTTTTATGACTCTTCACTTACAAACTGCGACTGGCCTTTTCAGAAGGAAGGCATATTGCTACTGAGGGCCATAAACATTTCTCTCAGTGCAGATATTTGTATATGAAGAATTGACTCCCTGACTATCCTCATTTGAAAAGGAACAGTCACATAAATGGTATTTTTTTCTATCACAGAGCTCACTGGCTCAAAAAACAGTGTGTGCTCCAGTACAACAGTGTTTTGTTATAAGGCAATTGCCAAAAGAAAATGAAGTTATGGAAGAGATTCACAGACAAAATAAGCAATTGCTAGCTTTAATATTTTCAGTGTTAACTGTACAAAGTGTTTCTAAAGAAATAATTTAGGTGATACCAGAATACAACTGGCACAAAAGAGAAGTTTTAACCTTTGCTGAACATAATAATGCTATCCCAACAGCTTTTAATTCAAGTGACAAAGAGTAAATACAAAACAGTAACACATGCACCCCAGATGTGAAGCTAGTTCACACTTTAATCTTTAAAGCAATCTTAGTAAAGTAATTAGTTCCTCAAACATAGTGAACTGCAACTTAAATGCTTTTATGCAAATCAACCCCTATTTCTCTTTAACAAAGTACAAATGAGGCAAACTCCAAAGTTCTGATCCAATCCCCCAACACAAAATTAACAATTTTGCTTTTAGGGTGTGTTTTGTTTTGTTTTGTTCTAATTAAACACTTCCAAAGAAATCTTTACTGTCAAGCTTTTGAATTACCCTATCAGAATTACC